GCAAAAAAATATTTTTAATCTTGATAATTTTCCTTATTAAAATGTATCAAATATGCTGACTCGTCACTTATTTGTATTTAATTAATATATTTTTTAAAAACACATATATATTAAATTTCCCTAATTTTATAACAATAATAATATTCTTTAGATATTAATTTCAAATTTTCAATGGAATTGTTTAACATTTATAAGTATCAAATAATAATACAGGGATTATTTGATTCCTTTATCTAAAATTGACAATTATACTTTTTATTTTTCCATTTTCTATATATGTATTTTTAGTCTCATTTGAATATGACCAAAAAAATAGCAGATTCTTTATTTTAAGTTAGTAATCTTGTTTCACAAATCAAAATGTATCAACTTTGACAGTTGATAGAAATTAAAATAAGTTCTAGTCATTTGCTTGAGGTAAGTACAAGCTTTTATGATTATTCTTTAATAATATCTTAAGAAATTCTTGGATCACTGTGGCAGAGTGTGTTATTTCTTGAATATTGAGGATTATATTATATAATAAGTTTCTTGTGGAATATTGTGATTTGTGAGTGAATACAGGATATTTCAATATCAAAGGTAAGTGAATATTTACATTTTTAATTTTATTTTAAGAATCATAATGTTTATTAAAATATGATTAGGCCTACATAGCCATAAATATCATTTACCTATAATAGATTCTGCAATAACAAGTTGGGATGTCACTAGGTCTATACTAGGCTTAAAGGATATATATATATATATATATATATATATAAATAAATATATATATATATTTTCCTACTGTAAGTGTAATAATGCTACTAAGGCTAGGGTTATTTATCCCACTCCCCCAATTAATACCTCAAAATAAAGCATCAGATAATATTATAAATAGGTATTTGTGCTAGTAAATTGTTGCTTTGTTTTAAAATTAGTTATTAGTGGGTAATATGCTGGATTTCCAGTGTAAATCAAGTTGCTTATTACAAAAACGTCCATTATCGATAATAGGTAATTTTGGGACACATGTGACAAAAATTTTGCACACAAATTTCTCACCCATGGCGGGGTCCTAACCTCACGAATTTTGGATATGTTGTCATTTATGCCTACATCTAACATTGGTATTTTCTCTTTTTAAACTTATATTTTCCAAAAAAAAATTATGAAAGAGTCAAATTAGCTATTATTTACCATTAATTTTCAATGTCAAACTGTCAAATTTTTTCTTAAAGAAAAGTGTCACATGAACAACAAACATGTCTGCTTTAAGTTGAGGGCAGAAATAGAATTTAATAACAAAACTAACTTTAGCAAAAAAAATCTTAAACAACACAACCCTCGGTAAATTAAAAAGTGGAGGTCGCCATTTTGACAACGAAATCACGATACCCGGTTTTCGGCACTTCCCGGATCATACCGAAGTCCCTAATCAAATATTGTATAGTATGACAAATCGACAAGCGAGTTAGTTAATTAATTTTAAAAATATTATTAAACCTATAAAGCTAATGTCGTAATAAACGATGAAGCCAGAATCCATAGTGTAGCTGTACGAAATTATTATAAATGACAAAATAAGCAAAAATAATATACCCACCCTATTCAATTGTATATCCCTTTTTGATTTTTGTCTCGCCATTTTATTTTCTGTTACTGGCATGGCAATGCATTTTCGGGATTTTCCACTTTTTTCATTTCCAGGAAAGATCCTGAAAACTGAAGAAAGGTGTGGCAAGCCCCGCGCGTCAACATCATAAGTGTCATTTGTATCAACTTTGTCTTCACCCTTCGTCGAAGAATATGGTGTTCATTTACATTTTTCAAATAGATTGTATTCTTTGAATTTTGGCTACTTAAACTTTGGACCCAAGAAATATTTCCATATATTTACACTGCTCTATCTGTAGGGTGTATAAATTATCATCATGTAATGATGATTATTAATAATGTGCTCGCTCTTTCTTTTCCAGCGTTTGATTGAATTTATTTCCATATAAAATGTGTCACACACACAAAAACGTGTATAGTGTGATGTCAATACCGGAAATTATATTTTAAATGAAAAGTTATTTGTATTATTTTTTTTAGAGTTTTTTTTTTTTTTATTTACTTATTAGATTATCGGAAGAAGCACACTCATTTAATAATAAAAATCAAAGGCAAAGAGTTTTAGGTAACAACGAATACTGCAAAGAAATTTTCAGAAACTATTTTAAACAACTTGTCCTGCCTACAAAAAAAGCTAAGAGATAGCCTTGAGAAGCGGCAGTTTGATTATCTATTCTATTTAATAATTTAATTTTAATTAAAATATTGAAGATCTTGGAATTTTAAAGTATTTTTATATTTTCAGTTTCAATTTCATAGTTTATAGGCCTAATCTTTTCATTTTTTTTTTTTTTTGAATGAACATCCCCCCTCCCCCCCCAACCCAACTTTCTATTTAATAATTTAATTTTAATTAAAATATTTAATATCTTGGAATTTTAAAGTATTTTTATATTTTCAGTTTCAATTTCATAGTTTATAGGCCTAATCTTTTCATTTTTTTTTTTTTTGAATGAACGTCCCCCCTCCTCCCCCAACCCAACACACACACAAACGTTGTACCAAGCCATCATAGAACGTACTTAAATCGTTACAGTCAATATAACGTCTGTTTGGTTTTCCGAATACCCGGTATAGGGCCTATACATTTCTTTTTGAACATTCCAAACTATGCCAGTCAGCGTTGCAACTGGGGGAAGAGGTTTTTCTAAACTAAAATTGATTAAAACACATGTAAGATATTAGAGTTAGAGACTGTCATAATTTCAGGAAAATTATTGCAGAATGTGTGCATAAATGTAAACCCTCGCGCTATACGCAGGCGTACGAAAAAACCTCCAAAATTAAAATCCACCCCCGCCCTCACAGTGAGGAAGTAGATTAGGTATAACGAAGTGGCTATTCGCACCCGTGTACCAGAAGTGACAGGTTGGGATTTAAAAAAAAAACTATTAAAAATGTCATTGTTGGATTTGTAAGACAAAATGAGGTATCAAATGAAAGATATTTGAGTGGACTATATGTTTGTAAACTTACTTCTTGGGGTTAACCAAAATAAATTACCACAAATGACATCGGAATAGCATTTAGTTAAAATGGCCCCGGACACGCAGCGCCGCCATTCGCACCCGGGTGCCATTAGACTAGGGTGACCAAACGCCCTGTAACAACGGGATGGTCCCGTTTTTTCACGATCGTACCAGGTGTCCCGAAAAAGTCTCTCGGGACGCGGAAATGTCCCGTTTCTAAAACCAAAAACATGTTCAAATCACTAATACTTCCTAATTTATAATATAACTTCAAGTAATATTTTGTCTAGCTGTGTAACCAGTGCCAGTAGTAATGTGGGCTCGCGTGATGGCTGCACTGTCCCCCCCCCCCTCTACCTCTCTTCACGGCTGCGTAAACGCCAGTGTTCCTGCCATAGATACGTATATGTATAAATACATAAGTAGGCCCTATTCACTGCAAAATTATTGTTTTTGTTTATGATATGCCTCAGAGTTTAAATTAAATTACAAAAGTGAAGGTAAATTTAAAAAGATTTCTAGGTCTCAAAGTTGTTAAAATGAGCATATTTCAATAAACGGTTCCTGGCGGAGGCCCCAAGACTAGGGGTCGCAAAAAAACGAAAAAAAAAAAAACCCAGGTATTTTCGATAATGAAGTTTACGAATACCGGAATCCCGGTATTTTAGATATTTCCGATAATTTGTGTAGTTTTAATCTTTGGTCAAACTCCAATAATGAGCTCGTCAAAATGACGACGTGTCCGATGTTTGATCACTCAATTTGGAGCGCAATAAATGGTACCAAAAGTAACCAGAGAACTTCCGCTCAGACTCCACAAGACCAAACTGATGTCTTTGTTTCCGATAGTTTCATATGCTTTTTATATTTTGGTTTATTTTATTCAGTGTCCCCCATTTCTTGCCATCAACCTGAAGGGAAAATAAATTATTAACAAAAATTTATTTTTTAAATCTATTTGGTTTGACATGTAGGCCTAGGCCTACAACTTTTTTTTAAAAAATGTTTAAATGTTCATGTAAATGTTTGGCTTGGTATGGTACAGACAAGCTGGGACATTCAACCTGTGACAAAATAGTTCGTAAATCAATTATGAGGTGAATGTGAATTATTAATATTGTTTTCACAAAATAGTAGTAACATACTTTTTCTATGTCTTAAACTTGAGGTATTTGATTATCAAAATACGGATTTACTTATAATTTTAAATATGTAGACACTTTGGGATAATTAAAGGAAATCAAGCCATCAAACATTTGTATTATCATTTCCATATATTTCATGTTACAAACAAATTTTTAATGTAAGTCAACATTCTATCTTCATTCGACTATACTAATCATTTATTTGTTAAAAATATAAAAACGTGTACTTTCCAATCATGTACCGTCACTTCGCGGCTCCACTTAAGCCACTTACACACTACACACGCACTACACACGCGCTACACACGCACTACACACGCACTACACACGCACTACACACGCGCTATGCAAAAAAACAAAACTAATGACAACGCCATGATAGTTGACAAATGAACAGTACGCAGATTTAGTCCTTCGGTCGGTTTGCTCCCTTTGAACTTGATACACGTGGTGTGAGGGGTTCGCACTTTGCACATCACATAAAGTATTGCTGTGCCTTGCTTTAGCTACGACATGGACACTAAGAAAAGCGATTAAATATTGTTTGAAAATGAAATCCCGGGGTCATCGAAAATCCCGGTTTTCATAAATCCAATCCCGGTTTTTTCGAGCATCGATTATGGTCCGGTATTTTCGAGAGTCGGGATCCCAGGTTGCGACCCCTACTCCAGACCCCTCTTTAGCTGAAGGGTATCCCCCCAAACCCTCCTTGGGTGTGCCCTGTTTTGATTTGGTCACTCTACATTAGACCAATGCTATTCGGATGTCATTTGTGGTAGTTTATTTTAGTTAAACTGAAGAAATACGTTTACAAACATCTAGTTAATTCAGTTATCTTTCATTTGATACCTCATCTTGTCTTAGAAACCCAACAATAATATTTTGAATAATTTTTTAATCCCAACCTCTCCTTTCTGGTATCCGGGTGCGAATAGTCGCAACCTAGATAACCTATGGCGTATCCGGAAATTTGATCGACAGAAATTTCGTCGACGGTAAATTGATCGACGGAAATTTGGTCGAATCTTTTTTTTTTTTCCTTCAGTTTTTACGTTAAAAGTTTGCTTCAAATTTCTTTTTGAACGCATTATTTTGTTTTACTAGATAGTATAGTTCGTTCAAAAAGAAATTTGACGAAAATTTTAACTTGTGAACTGAAAAAAGGATTCGACGAAATTTCCGTTGTATTAAATTTCCGTCGATCAATATACCGTCGACGAGCCCCGCACACCACGTGTATCAAGTTCAAAGACAACCAACCGAAGGACTAATAAAGTTCAATACTCTAAGAGGTCGAGATTCTATCTCTTAGGACCTCGGCTATGAAACAAGGCCTAGTAGTCCCTGAGGACTCCGGCCATGCAATGCGGTCTCGAGTAAAAGGATTTCTGGGCAGTTTGCTTCCACTCATGAGGGGACAGTTTTGCGTCACAACCCCTCTTGCCCATTGAGTCTTGCGGTCTGGACGTTGGGTTGGAACGGCTTTGCTTCCTCTCCGGGGATGGCGTTGCGTTGCCTCCCCCACCGCCCAGGGAGCCGTACGTTCCTTGGTAAGGCAGGGCTTTACCTCCACTCCGGGAGTAGTCTCGAGCTTAACTTCCTCCCACCGTTCCTGTGAGTTGTGTGGACGTGGGTCAGAACGGCTTTGCTTCCTCTCCGGGGAGGTGCTGCGTTCGACTAAATCTCTGTACTGTTATTTTTCAACTATTTCCAGTAACTATAATATTGACAATTGATGTCCCCTAACTGAAAATTTGAATTTTACAGGAGATTCCCTTACCTTGGGGGAAAGCCCGAAACTACAAACTACAAGATTAAAATAATATTTATAATATGGCAAAATTACCAGATGGTATAGAACTAAGCAAGGTATGTAAATTGGTTTATAATCTAGAAATTGTGTCATTTATGTCACCAAAGTTTTTAAGAGCTAAGGCATGCATTTTGACCACTATAAATATATGAAAAGCTTTACTATAAGAAATGAGGAGTGACATTAATAAATAATAGTAATAGCTTAAACTTAAAGGTAAGTCGTAAGTTCCTTGTGCCTTGTGTGAGCCATGGACGTGGAAATCGAAACTGAATCTAAGACTAAAAGTAAAAGTAAAAATCTAACTTCAAGTGAACGCTTATGATTAAAATGATTAAAAATTAAAGGATAACCTTATACTGTACAGGGGTCGTCCATTAATTACGTTAACAATTTTTACACAATTTTTACACCCAGTCAATAGAACCAGAATTATCATTTTCATCTTGCGGAGCTGATATACCAGACAAGTCAACATCATCCTCATCTAATAATTCAACACTTAAAATAGAAGCATTGTCGGTGTGAGGTATAATTGCCATAAGCTCTATCTACCTCCAGGCAGCTACTTTCATTAGTCGAATCCATTTTTGTTGAGGAGCAGGTGCTAAAATCTTACGGTCAAGAGGGCATTGTCGGTGCTGTTGAACATGTTTTTTTCAACCTGACTTGTGATGCAAAATAGATGTTACAGGTTTTCAAATCCGTTCAAGCAGCGATCAGGGTTTCTTTCAGCTATATCTCTGTGGGGGAGGGGAGCACTGCTCCCCCGGGGAAAGCCAAGTGCCCCCCCCCCCGGAACAAAAATATGTCCAACAATAAACCAACAGGCACTGCCCCCATCCCGAAAAATCTGAAGTGCCCCCTCTCTCCCCCCCCTACAAAAATATGTCTAACAATAAACCAACAGGCACTGCCCCCACCCCGAAAAATCTGAAGGCCCCCCTCTCCCCCCCCCCCCCCTGTGGGAAAATTTCTGAAATAATCACTGCTTGTTCCATACCTGCAACATGATCGCACTTAGTCATTTGCGACAAACAGAATCTACAGGTAAAGAGAGGCCAACTTTTGACTTCTCTTGGACTAACAAAGTGTGCTAACATTCTGACCAGCCATCTGTATTTCACAGACACACAATTAATAAACCGTTTATTGTTAAAAGCCTAAAAGTTATATGACTATTTACACTCATTTGAACTTATAAATTTATAAAAATAATGTAATAATCAGTCAATTTTTAAGATAAAAACTTAATAGAGAAAAAATTATTGTTGACGTCAACTAATCTAAACCCCATACTCCCTCATGTCAACAACTGTCAAACATTTCTAAACCCTCTCCCCCTTATTTTGTTGACATAATTAATGGACGCGCCCCCCCCCCCCAGTTTAATTTTTTAAAAAAAAGGTAAAATAAAAATGAGAAAAATCAACTTCAAGATGTGTTTTGGCAATGTTAATAATATTATAATTATTTATTAGAAACTAAGAAACAGTTATTATTAAAGAAGAGGCCACATTTCCTAGATTCTCATTCATGCGAGTTTCAGTTATGTATTTTCTGAGTAGGCCTATTTCATTCAATTTCAAGTAGCAGGCCCCCCACTGGGGTGAATGGGTTGGGCGGAAAGTGGGTGGGTGGGGGGTTCCCCCGCCCATAGACAAAAAAAATAATAATAATAATTGAAGGAGTTTTTTTTTTTGTAATTTAGATGTTTTTTTTTTTTTTTTTTTTTTTTTCATGGTTTGGGGCGTCAAAATTATTTTCCCGTACCAGGTGGCACTAACCCTAGCTATGCCACTGAGTAGGCCTACAATCCACTGCTCTCAATAGTTATAGTAAAATTATAAACTTCATGCACATAAAAAAACCAACATATTTAAACAAAATTAGGAATTTTAAACCGACCAAATGCACAGGAACAGTTTTTTTACAAATGTGTTTAGGCTTAGGGTTTTGAATGGATATTGGCAGGCTGTGGTATCACTAGGGGGAGTGTGACCACAGGGGGTCGGTTTCATAACAAAAAAAAATTGAATACATGAACAGGTTGCCATCAAAGCAAGGTGGCATAAGAACAATGTGCCACCATAGCAGGTTGCTACCAGAACAGGGTGTCACCTGACCAGGGTTGCCAACCATCCGTAAATTTACGGACAGTCCGTAAAGAGTTGTCGTAAAATTGCCTGTCCGTAAAATTCCGTTAAAAAATTAAGACGTCCGTAAAAAAAAAAATCGACAAAACGTGGAATCTCAACGTTTAAAAAACCCCCCAGTAAATCATGTTTGTGATATCTATTTTCTTGATTTAAATTTTTAAATTGTTTCAGTCTATTAATAAACTGTAAGAGCTCTCTGGACAGCTAGGCTCGCGCGACGAGACGCATCGCGGCAAGATGGACTTGTTTAGACAGATCGTTTTAAGGGTCAACATTTTATGTTAAATGTGTCCGTACAAAATTGTATTTGTCCGTAAATTTGGATGAAATTTCTTATATTTGTCAGTAAATGTTATTTTATTGAGTTGGCAACCCTGCACCTGACAGAGCAGGAGGCCATCAGTGTTCTTTGAAAAACAGAGGCGCCACCATAGCAGAACCAGGATGTCAGCAGAGTAGGGTGCCAAAAGAACAGGGTGCCCCAGATCAATATTCTATAGCATTTTCAATTCTTTGCCCTAAATAATCTATCCTGGGAAATCTAGGGATAAAATTAGTTTATTTATAATAGGCCTATATATGATAGGTAGCATACATGACATTTTTAAAATTACACTAATACTTTTTTTCGTATTCTGTATTTTCAGATTAATCCTAAATATTTACACTCAAATTCAACCAGTCATGTATGGGCATTTGGAGCTTTTGCGGAATTAATAGGTTTAAAAAAAAAATTTTTTTTAAATTACTAAATCACATCAGTGTTTGTGTGGGTGTGGGAGGCTGGGTTGGATGGTATACAAATTACAAAATAGGTCATACTAAACACCCCTTTCATAATTTACAAAAATAATTAATTAATTTTCAAAAGTATATTGTGTTTGATTAGTTTTGATTCTGGGAGCTATATTATAAATTGGATGAGTTTTGAATTTCCAAAAATTAAACTATGTTAAATACTATAATCATTTAAACTTTGTAATACACTTCCTAATGTATTATTTTTGTGTGTGCTAATTTTGTATTGCACACAACTTGTAAAATCTCTTTTTATGCACCTGACTACAGATAATGCTTCAATTTTTTTTTCTTCAGATAATGCCTATGATCCTGATGTTGACGCAACCACCCTGGAAATAGATATACAAAAAGTAGGAAATATGCAATGTCTTACTCTTTTGGATGATGGAGTAGGCATGGACAAACAGAAAATAAAAAAGATGCTCAGGTTTTTTATCTATTTATTATCAGGTTTTATAGATAAATCACAATTTATTTGGAAACTAGAATCAAAATACAAGAGACACACTAAAAAATATATAAATAACAGGGGGAAAGTTTTTTAAATTAAATGTGTCAAATAAATACCAAGGAAACCAAGGATGCCTTTTCCCATCCTATTTTCCTTTACCCATTTTATAGTGAACTAGAAATAAAAAATGTATTGTTCTTCAAAGGGTCCCCATCTGACTCTTAAAAAAAATATTATTAAAACTGCCTTTTATATTTAGTTTTAATTCACAGAACATATCAACTCATGTAATATAATTGTTTACTTTATTTTTCAGCTTTGGATACTGTGATAAAGATACCTATAACAATGGAGAATCATACAAACCTGTTGGCTTATATGGCAATGGTTTTAAATCTGGCTCCATGCGTTTAGGAAAAGATGCACTGGTATTTTCACAATGCAGCCAAAGTGCTTGTATTGGACTCTTGTCTCAAACCTACCTTGAAGCCATAGGAGCTGACTCAGTGATTGTACCCATACTAGAGTACAGTCTGCCTGATTATATCCTTTATGCAGATTTTTTTTTCACACAAAAGTTGTTAGAGATTTATTTCCTTGTGTTTTTTGAATTTTTTTCATGTCATTAAAGACAATAAATGTCCAAAGAATATTAATTTTGATACATTTTTTATGTTAGATGCAGTTTTGGATATTTTAAATTTCTATAATGAAAGACAAGCCTCTATATATTTCATAATAGTCTTAGGCCATATCATTTGTAATACTGAGTCTATGTAACTCGTTTTCTATCTACAAGACAAGAAAGGTAGCTCAGTAATACTTTATATCTATTCAATGTGATTTGATGTTGTGAAAGAAATATGAACACCTTAACACAATTATACTAAATCGTAAAAATGATCGTCAGTGTCTCAACAACCTTGAAGCTATTTTGCAGTATTCTGTATTTGAAAGTGAGGCTTTATTAAAAGGACAACTGAATGCATTGAAATCTTCAGTAACTGGAACCAAAATCTTTATCTTCAATCTCCACAGGTAGATTTAGTATTTTATAGATTTGTAAAATTTAAATAACTTCCTCACTTAATTTTTTTTTTTTTCTAATTTTAGAATTGGCTCACAAATTTAAAATAAGTATTTTTGAAAGTTTTTTCTCATAGACATGTCTATAATAACAAGAAAACTTTTCATGTGCATCATAAATTTGTTTGAACAATAGTTTTGTTACTTGAATCTCTGATGTAGCCGCCCTGTAAAGTTTTAAACTTACAACAATTTTTAATTACAGTATATTAGACAGTAACAATACGGAATTCAGTTTATATAAAACTTTTTTATATTCTCACTTAAGCTTCTTAAAAACAAAACAGAGTCCCCTAGAGCCAAACCTGAATCCCTCCGTACTGTAACATATATTCTAAACAGAAAAAAATAATCTGAAAACAGGTCTTTCAAAAATAAGGTCATTCTAAGATATGCATGGGGAAGATGAAATTATGTGTTGTACTTGGAAATTCCTTGGTTTTCTACCATTAATAAAATAACTTTCAATGAGGTTGATAAAATTACAATTTAACATAAATCTGAAATTAATATTCTTTATTCTCATTATCTGATGCCTTCTTATTTCTATTATAGCTTTTGTGTATAAAATTCTTCTAATTATAGATTACAAAGTGGTAAAGTAGAACTTGATTTCCAAAGTGACCGTAAGGATATTAGATGTCCCGATCCCTATATGGCAGATACAACTAATTTGGATTGTCGACCTGTGGAAGATGTACCCGAGTACAAGAGATCACTAAGAGTAAGTCTTTGAAAAGAATTTGATTAATTTTTATTTAAGCTTATAAAGTTCTTACCTTAAGGCCTAAAGTAACCTACAATAGTCATCCCTATGATAAAATGATGTAATCATTTTTCAGGAGTATTGCAGTATTTTGTATATGCGTCCAAGAATGAAAATAATCATAAGAGGACATCCTGTTAAGTCAAAATATGTTTCCAAAATGCTGTATCTAACAGAGGACCATCAATATAAACCATCTTGGATGGTAAGTTCCATATCTATTGTATTGTGGGGATGAAATAGTTTTAATTTATAGTAAAAGATAAAAACGATATAGCAGCACCACACCAAGACGTAGCAAGTCCAAACTATAACAAAATAGGTAAAACATTTTTTAAAGTTTTCCTTTATGTGGCTTAGATTATTGAGATTGGAGCATATTTCACAAATTTATACAATGAAGGATTTGAATTTCAACAATATTGATGACAAATTATGTCTTAGTAAAAATGCCTTCATTTTTAACATCTTATTTGTGGAAGGAAATCCATCAGTTTAATGATTTGTATGTCATTAGGGGCGAAATGACAAACCCATCAAAATAAAAATTGGCTTCTCATGTGCAACAGACTGTAATGAGAACTACGGCCTAATGCTTTATCACAAGAACAGATTGATGAGAGCTTATGAGAGGGTGGGATACCAGAAACAGGTAGTTTTGTAAAAATTGATTGTATATAAGGCATATTTCTATTCGATAAAATCATATATTTATTGATCAAAGATCATATCTAGTAAAAATAAGCAATTTTACATTGATTGTATTGAATCATTTAATTCATAATGAATTTTTTTTTGTCTCACCAGGCCAATGAAAGAGGTGTAGGAGTGATAGGTGTTGTAGAGCTGGACTTCATCACACCAACACACAACAAACAGGACTTTTACAGAAATGACCACTTCAAGTATTACTAAGCTCATATTCAGGGTTCTCAAACTCTATAAACAAAATTATATGCACTAAAGTGCTGCTTCACAGCTCCATGAGTCATTTTAAAGAGTTTCTTCTGTTTACACTTTTATCTTTATTTAAATATCATAATTGTTATTAGCATACCGTAACATAATAACCTATGACCAGTTTCATTCATGCTATCAAATTAACTCACTTTGACAAATGCAATCATAACAAGACAGAATACACATCTATATCACTCTGTTCTCAGTTCAATTATGTCAGCACTAGCTACCAAATTAAATGCTTACTGGAACAGCAAAAAGGAAATACAAAATAATGATATAGGGTAAGTATTTATAAACATGTATAAAAACACTATACTGTCTATAATATTCTCTATAAATATTATCTTTAAGATTACATTACATGTAAGATATTGAAATTCTGTTTCATGTATTTATTCTACATTATTACAACATGTGTTTAAGTTTATGCCTAACTTAACAGTTATAATTTGTCACATTCATAAGTTGTATTTTCAAATATTTTTTTTTACTTGAATAAACACAGTAAACTTCCTGATTGGACTTGGGTTCAGTGTGACCAATGTAACATGTGGCGACGCTTGCGAACTGGAACAGATGGTGATTCTCTACCAAAACAATGGTTTTGTTACATGAATAAAGATGCACAATATAAGTAGGTCATTTGTTTGAACGCATATTTAGGCATTTATTTCATATAAGATAAGTGCTGGGGCTTGTAATAAAAAAAATGAAATTACTGGTGAATATTTTTAAAAAATCCTTTTGAAATTAAACAATATGATAATATCTAAGCTACAAAGTACAGACAGTAAACTTTTTTTTAATGATTGATCTCTTCATGAATTTTGTGCAATTTACAATTAAAAAAATCAAATTCACTAAATTTAAAATTTATTTTAATTAAAAATCTAACTTAAGTTTCTTTTGTTTCTTTTGTGTTTAGTCGTTGTTATGAGGATGAGGAACCAGATGCACCTGTTGACACTCCAAGACGAAAGTAAGGAACTAGATAAAATTTATTTAATTTTTTATGAAATGTTAAAGGAAAAAGGATGGAGTTGTATTTTAAATAAAATTTTATGTTTTTTTTTTAAATGTTCAAAAGAACAAAGTGTCTTGGTAAAATTAATAATTTAAAGTAGCTATTACCTCATCTGTATCAGAATTATGCTTTTGTTTTTTTAATTTTTATGAAGCCTGAGACTTTGCTGTTACAAATTAATATGATTATCTTAAAGTTTTAGCCCAGTTGACAACCATTTGGGTATTTTATGCTGACCTCATTTAGGGCATGAAATTATAGTCACAAAAATGTGCATACCCTGGTACCAATTTATTCACAGGCCATAACAGCTGGTAAACCAACAAATCACCTTTACACATTTTTTTTTCTGCAGAGCCAATAATAAACGTAACACAGAGCCTCTGTCACAGGTAAGATAACGTTTGATCACTAATTGTATCATATTCCTCTGTCTCCTATTCCTAGAGTCTGAGGTATATCTACTTGGTGTCAAGGTGAGTAGGGTGATTCCTTTTTTCCAAAGTGTGTTTGATGAGTGGTTTATTATTAATGTAAAGGAAGTGGTGGCAAACTTAGGGTACAAACTTTAGCTAACCCACTGTCTACATGGAAAGCAGTGAAGATTAAAACCAACTAACTTAAATCTTTGTGCACTTTTGATCATATCAATCTAACTATTTTTCAACCCTTGCTTAACTCCTTTACATCTGCCATCCTAAAGGATTAAAACCATAACTGTCATAGGAATTTTATTTTCACCTAAGAATATCCAAGCTCAATGTGATTTAGCAACTTTCAGTAAAAAAGATGTCTCAGCAGCAGATCTCTAATTCTCTTATCTGTAAAGTCTAGTAATTTTTCATTTCTATGATGTTCAATATTACATGTGACTTTCTTCAGCTGAGAACTGATTAGAAACATGCTTATTTTTCAACACTTAAATTATATGATCACTTGGCAGAGCTTAAAGTTAAAGTGTTTAGCTGAAGTTTCTCAAAACTTGACTAAGTTTTTGTTAAATATTTTGACAAAAACTTCATATAATCAGATCAAATTCAAATATGAAAAATAACGTTTTATGATTTACCTATCAATTCTGTATTTATTACTATATTTTTATATTGAGAAATTCAGGTGCCCAGTTGAAAGCAAATCTTTTCTTTTCTCAGGACTGAAAACTTTGAAAAATATATTTTGACTAAAGTTTCATATAGCATCATGCCATGCTATGATTGATTCTAAGTCTGAAAAGCTGTAGTCCAGTACTAAACTTGTAACAGACCTATAAGTAGAAATGTAACAAATGAAGGCAAAATTATAAATAATTTTAAATGTAGCCAAAACAAAGCACTTCATTTTAAATACTAAAATTTGGGAGAAAATGCTGTCAATTTGTTCTCATTTTCAGAGTACACAGGCTGAAAAAAGGTAAGTTAGCACATTTTTTAAACACTCTTTCTTCTTAAAAATTAATTGATATTTGCATTGTGTGGAGAGCTCACTGGTTCTAATGCATGTATCTGTTCAAAAATATCAAACTATATGTATCAAATCTAGTTTATGACTGATTAATGAAATGATATAAGTAAGTTAAATATTTGATTTACCTATTACACATGTAAACCAAGTTTCTTCATTCCATTAATTAATCGATGATTCTGAATCAGATATATGATTACAATAATTCATCTTAATAAGTCACACAAGGTCTTCTTTCATCTTGTTTAATTTATAAGAAAATAAATCAACATTATTTTTGAACAGTTTGTGGGGTCTTACATATTAATAATAATGTCATGCTATTTTGGTGCTTCCTTCTATAGTCACAAATTCATCACAAAATTTGGACTCCCTCATAATAGATTGTCATACATGCTCCCCCACCACCCTGGATGCATGGCATCATGTATGGATGTCCCCTGTTTAGTTAGTTGTTAATAATATAACAATCAAATTGGTGTCTCATGGCTCATATTCATTCACATGTTATGGTACATAACCTTTTTTATTTTAAATTTTTGACCTTGGGGAAACTAATCTGATACCACAGCTTAGTACTTTCTCCATTTAAAGCGTGATTAAAATTACCTGCTGACATTCTGTTAATGTTTTCTTTTAAATACAATACAAAACTTCTTTGAGGCAAATGATAATCGAATGATGTCTACACTAAGTTGAAACTGTAAGGACCATTTTATTTGTTAGTATGAATTAAAAATTAATCTGATTTTTATTCATAAGTACCAGTCCTAAATAGCTTTTGCCTATAGAATTAATAATTTATTGGTTTTATAATGGTTGTGGGTGTGAACATTAAATGATGGCCTTTGACCTCAAGTAGTTAGTTATTTTTCTTCATTCTTTCTTCATATTTTCTAAAGAGATTATAATTTGACATGTTTTTAAGTTCCACAGCCACCGAACCCATACCAAAAAGGAATAAGATTGCAGTCAAGTCACCTGCTGCTGGTTCTAAATCTCAAACCAGGTCAAAGTCACCAAAAGCAAAGTCACCAAAAGCAAAGTCAACAGCATTGAAAGTTTTAAATAAAAGTACAACACAGTCCAAAAAAACCCCATGGACATCCTCATCTCAAAACAACAACACAAACTCAGTTGATCTTGATGACAGTGACAGTGATGATTTTGAAGGCACATCATCCGGGTCTTGTAGGCGACCTGTTAAAAAAAACAACCCAACAAACTCAGTTGTATATGATAACAATAATTATGACAGTGATTGTTTTGAAGTGACATCATCCGGTTCTTGTAGGGAACCTGTTAAACAAAAACACCCAAAAAAACCAGTTGATCATGATAACAGTGATGAATATGAAGGCACATCATCTGGTTCTTCTAGGAAACCTGTTGAAAATAGTGACATAACTGGCAGCTCACCACTTCTCAGAGTTTCCAGGTCTTTGTTCAATGTGCATAAAAGTTCTGACAGAATACATAACAACAATAAAGATCAAGTGACCAATCATTCTTCTATGGAACAGGAAGCAGGTAATGTTTTAATCCTAAAATCAACAAAGAACAAAAATCAGTTTTTTGCAGAGTAGACCAAAACTAAAAAAACTAAACTAAGTTTTTATTATCTGTTGTTTAATTATTTTTGTTGATAAAGTCTTTCAACCAAAGCGTCCTCGTCATTGCCTTTAGTCATTTCCTTATATTACTATGGCTTTACTATTTGGAGGATTTTATTGATTTATTAATCATTTATATTTGAAATATTTATCTCTTAATAATTTTTTTTTTAACTTGTTTAATTCAAGATCATACCACATTTCCAGAGTGAATAACACAAAGATTAAAAATTAAAGCTTAAATTAAGTTAAAAATAAGAATGTTGAGCAAAAACAGGTTTTAAAACTAAAACCGGTTGTGGATTTTGGCAAACCAGTCACAAATTTTTTTGTATAATTATATAAAAAATATTTTAAAAAATCAAAATTTATAAAAATAATAATAATAAAATACCCAAATAATAAATGTATTATTATTTAATAAATGAAATACTTAAAGAAAAATTAAGATACTGTTTAATGCATAAAATTGGTAGGAACAGTGGTCGACTTTTATTGCAAGCTTTTACTGTATGAAAGAAATTAACAAGTTTGCAGATCACATTCACCCATACTTTTACCCTGCCCTGCCCCACGCCACCTTTATATTAATGAAAACTGCAATCTAAAGAAAAGACATAAAGAGAGAAATAAGCTATTTAGTATAAGAAATGGTCTGAAATTATTGTCCCCCTTGCCCCAAACAAAAAAAACTCCTGGGACAAAAATAACCCTCCTTTCCCCTCCTATGCCCGTGGATAGTCTGGTCTAAAAAATATTATGTCGACATGAAATGGTTTGAGGAGAGGTTAAGAATACTTTTCAAATAAGGGTCAAGTTCTGGGGGGAATAGTGTGGGAACTCATCCAAAACCTCAATACATTTGTATTTTTTTAGCAAAAAGTAAAAAAATGTAAAATTACAGGAACATTCTTCCATACCTTCCTGCAAACTCGTGCCCCAATAGTACAAACTGAAATCTGGTTAAAAACTTGATTTATATAACTGAAAACAGCTTTGCAAAGAATAAAATATATTTTTAACATCACTAGTTACAATAGATAAAAATTGAACATTATCCTTTTTTTTTTTTTAAAGTAAGGCAATGAGGAAATGATAATACAAATTAGAAAAAAACACAAACTTATTAGCCACACTCTATAAGTTGGCATGGATGGATCAGATGGAGTCTATAAATGTGTACTAATTGGTTTTACTTACACTTGCAGCCCTTTAAAATAAAATTCTCTTACCTTGATAGGTCAAGTTCTCATCAGAAGTATGAGAAATGGCGTACATGTTGCAGTTCAAACTGAACAAACAGAGAGTGAGTCAGAGAGTGATGTTTTTACCAGGACAAGTAGTACATTCCATCAAAATGTACATAAACTAATAGAGAAGATAACAGAAACAGACATAGGGGATGTGAGTGGTATTGAAAGTTTTGTTTTAGATATGTTAAGGGAAAATACCCCTGAAGACTCTGAAGATGAAATTCCTTAAACATTTTTACATTCAAAATTTTTTAAAATGTTTCTTTAAAATTTTCATACCATTATACATGGGTTTAATTAGTTTAATTGTAAACTACACAACTGTTGATTTAATGTCATGTAATTTTACTACAGTTACATTGCTCATATTTCATCATGACTACTAAAAATTATTTGTTTTTCATGCATCTCTTTCTTTAAACAGTATTAACTTCATTATTTGTATATCTATGTCTTTCTTTGAAGTTTATAAAAGTAAACCTAGTCAATTTTCATTTTCATCATTGTGATCAATATTAATATTAACAATAATATCAATATTTTCATGTATACAAGACCTTTTAAGAAATTTATTCAAAATTGTATTAGGTATGGCTTTAATTTAATAATTATTGCATATATTATTTAATGTAATCGTGTTATTTTTGTTTGAAAATTATTATTTTTTGTTACCTATAGTGACTTTTATTGTAATCTCTCAAATCTTTGATTATCTAAGCAGCAGACTGAATATTGGATTGTCTTAGCAGCTAATAGAATGTTTGGTTGTCTCAACAGCTGACTGAATGTTTGGTTGTCTCAGCAGCTAATAGAATGTTTGATTATCTCAGCAGCAGACTGAATATTGGATTGTCTTAGCAGCTAATAGAATGTTTGATTGGCTCAGCAGTTGACTGAATGTTTGGTTGTCTCAGAAGCTGATTGAATGTTTGATTGTGTCAGCAGCTAATAAAATGTTTGACTATCTCAGCACCGGATTGGATAGTTTGGTTGTGTTTGGAAGCTACACAGTTGAAGTTAAACCACTGCTTCATTTCATAAACATGGTTTATGTGTCTATAAATTTATATATAAGTAAATAGCAATAGTTGGCCTCTCAGTAGGCCTATGTGGAGGATTTTTATAATGGGTATGGTGCATTGATTGTCTGTGCTCATGCTTAACTGGAAAATTATATTGTAATGCATGCATGCACAACTCAAAATGAAAAACTTGTGCGGGCCGAAAGATAATGGGACAGGGGCGAAAGCTATTAATAAAATAATAATAATAAAGAATATTTCGTTACTTCGCGGACTGCCAATGGGGTGCTGGCGGGCGTATGTTGTGCCGGCCTGTTGTAACGCATCATCCTTTTAAATTAAAATAATAATTTTGGGGGAAAAGCTCTTTTTGAGTGGGTGGGGTGTAATGTTATAGCTGTAAATATATGGGCCTAAATGTGAAGTGGTGCACGGAAGTTATGGCTTGGTGAGGTCACCCCGACAAACAGAGCGAGCTACTTATCGACATTTAATGACATGGTATATGGATGGCCAGCACGCAGGTCATTTGCCATCCGCTGGCTATATAACAAATGAAATTATTTCTACATTCAATCAGCAACCGTTTTCATTCTTGACATAGCACATTTAAAATATATAAAAACCACTCATTGTGGACGGTGCGCTCCATTTTGGTATACAGGCACCACTTTATGGAGTTATTTTTAAAAATAAGATTCAACTTAGTAATCTCATAAATCTAAAATGAAAATTTAAAACTATATTACTATTTAGTAACTACTAAAATTAAAGGAGGATATAGACACATCAACGTAAAGGAAACGTAAATTCTACTAGCATAATATCTTATGTTATGCTCTGGTTGTGTGGAATTATTAATCAGGTATGCGCCAAAATAAACCCATGCATTTTAAAATTATCAAAAATATTTCTAGGGAGGGAGCCAAGAAATCTACCAAACCATGGTCACACTTATGTTAGGTTACAAAAAAGACTAGTCCAAGCCTTGGAGGATATCAGATATTGTGATTGCTGGCAGGTGAGAGACAAGACAAGCTGGGGCGGACCATGGAGAAAAAAAATCCCTACAGACTACAGGTCTTGGTAACACGGTGTAAAGAAAAAAACATAACTCTCAATGAGGAAGATAGAGGTAAACAGGCTGAGATGACTCTGATGTATCAAATCAATAGTGAAAGGGTTACTGAACCTAATCAAAGGAAACCGATTTACTACTGATTTAACCACGATGGAAAATGAGACACATTTTAGAACACACACGTTCAATATCTTATATAAATGCTGCTAAAAACTGAGGTGCCTATATGAAAAACAGAGTCAACTTAAAACAGAAGACCCCATTTTTGAAACACCGTGAAACTGACTTAGGGGATTTCACACAACTGTCAGTGGATGTTGTCTACCAACTTTTCCAACTAGCTATTGTCTCCTGCCTAGATGCATATTGGCTTGTGTTGTTTATAGTTGAAAGGGATGAAAGACTTTGAATGGGTATGTTTGTTTGTAGTTTTTGTATTGTTGCGTTTTGTATTTTAATGTGGTAAAATATAAATTGTTTCATTTCTCTTTTAATATGGTTGACTGTGTCCCGCGCTTCGAACCTTTTGGGATGAAGCGTGATTTCTTTAAAATAAACTGTATTTATTTATTTTAATTTTATGTCAACTCTGATGAATTGATTCCGAATGGGTGTGACATTTGTCATAGTCCTCGTCCGAGGCTCACTACTAAAAACCAACGCTACAAGACCATGGTCACCCAAAGACCATCTCTTCATTACACTCTGGTTAGGTGTTTTGTAAAACATTAACACAGTTTCCTGAGTAACAGAGTAATATATATATATATGTATAGCCTATATTTAAAATGTATTAAATTCCCAATCGCTTTTCTTCTTTGAATATCAGAATTATAAAAAATGTTCCCCACCTATTAGCACGCATTTTTTGTAACTTTTTAAAAGACGAGAATCCAGGAGAAAGATAAAGAAAGTGGGAGAAAACGCTGATTTTTTGTTGTTGTTTTTTAAACTAACATTTCAATTATCATGCCACTTCCATCTTTTGTACTAGTTTTAAAAAAATAATATTTTGTTCTAGATCGTCAATTCATAAATAAATTCTATGGATTTGGTTTAAAAAATTGCTTAAGTATATGGAAAAGGCATTTAGTTTGAAATGCATCTAAAGAAGGTTATAGTAGTTTGAAATTTTCAAATAAACATTTGAATCAACTGAAATATTGGGAAGTTTATGCGTTATTTTTTATATGATTTCCCTCAAATTAAATCAGACATTAATAAATATATTATATATTTTGTAAACATTTAATGTCTTCTTAATATAATAATGCTGTTCATAAACGATTGATAAAAATGACTATTTAAAAAGCTTAAAAGTGTATAGACCTTTCTACATAATAGTATTTATTCCCTTTTTTAAGAACAGTTTTTTTTTTAAAAATATTTTCGTTCAATGTGTAAAATTTCGTTAGCAATGATTTTTTTATGTGATGAAAACCTGTTGAGAAAGGATTTTGTTTAAAATTCATTCATTAATTAGGTAATTTACCCCTAAAATATGTTCAATAAAAAATTCAAAAACACATTACTATTCAGTAATTTAAAAAAAACAACATGTTTGTATATTATCACAACCTGTTCAATCAAAGCCGTCGCTTGACTCTTTTTTGGCTCCCTGCAACTTTTCGGTTTTGTCCCAAACTTGCATTCAAGGTTGATAAATAAAAAGGTGTCCACTGAACAACTTTAGTTTTAGGCCCCTAACTAAAATAACCGAGCCCCCCCCCCCGGCAGCTGTCGGTGTTACAGGACCCACACGATGGCTCTGGGTTAAGCGACACCTACATTTTAAATAAAAAAGTGTCCACTGAACAACTTTTGTTTTAGGCCCCCAAATAAAAAATCCGCGCCCCCCCCCCCCCCCGGCAGCTGTCGGTGTTACAGGACCCACACGATGGCTCTGGGTTAAGCGACACCTACATTTTTAGCTAGCATCTCTCCCGTTGCTCTCCGATTAAGTGTAGAATGATGCAAAACTATATTTAGGGATGAGCATTCTTTCATTTTGAATTTAGCACACATTTTCTGGGGACTATGATTATGAAGATTTAATGGATGACACAAAGCTAGGACAAAAAAGCAATCATATAGTCTCAAGAACGCCACAGCTGGAATGAATTTAGTTCATGTTGGGCTGTGGTGGAGTTAGAGATGGCTCTGATCGTTAATATGGCTACTTTTGGTGCTTCCCACCCGAAAGTCTAAAATGCCTCATTCCAAATTGTTTGAAAAAAAAATATACTGAATTCAAGTATACACATTATAACTGCATCCTTACATTTTGAATTTATCCACACACAAAAAGGACCCTCCCCCCATTTTCGCTCGAGATTCTTCGACACACTCAATTACCGCTACCCCTTTCCTGGACGCCGATCAATGTGACTTTACGGGGTTGAATCTAAGCATGTGCCAAATGATTATCTTGGGGCGCGCAACAACTGGAGCAAATTTAGTGTATGTGTGGCTCAGGGCGCCATAACGCCTCCTCAAACGCCTGAAAACTTCCTTGCCCCGATCAAACAACCCAATGAAAGCATTGAATTCAGGAATACGTCAAAATGCACATCTTGATTTTAAAATAATAACACATTTTCTTGTTAGGGAAGAATCATTGGCGCCGTCGATGTAAGTCCTACTTCCCGATAGTGCAGATTTAAACACTATATAGTGGTGTATGTAGTTTTAGTGGCACCCTGGGTGGGCTAAGATTTTGTCACACTCCGATATATTTGATTGGGTTCTGTTATAAGCGTCTTGCTTACTTTCATTCATCTTTGTTTATCTAAAATTTGACGTGCGTGTAGACCAATATGTTCCCTTTTCAACTTCGTACCTTTTACTTTTACAACATTGTATGTTCTTCAACAGTGTACGGTACAAGTCATCACTGTAGTGTAAGTCAAAGCTTTAGTTTTTATTTCTTTTTAATTTTGTAATTTGTAATTAGCCCTAGTTTGGGTATCGTTTTCTTTCTTTCTTTATAATTTATGGTATCGTCTTTTGTTGTGTACTGTTGTAGTTCAACGAGCCATAGGCCTTTACTCAAAT